AAAACCGTTACAAGGTATTACACGTTTAGACAAGTTAAATAACTGGGGTGACTTACACACCTGCTATCCTAATTGAATCACATTAACACAAGCCGGATACGCACAATAACTAACCCTAATAAATTCCTACGCATTATGCCTCATCCCTCCCTCCTTCACAAATTCTCACAAATTCCTTATGTCTCATCCCTCCCTCCTTCACAAAATCCCACAAATTCCCATGCTTGAACACACACACCTTATCCCTTTAACCCCTCCCAATCAGTTTCTCACGCTTAACAACACACAAAACTGCACATGATCATGCATGCGTAAAATAATGAGGGGGGAGGATCTTACCCTAAACCCCTTCCCCCTAATAATTAATTGATTTTTTATGCTAATTAGGACACCTGCACCCCCTCGTGCGCAGTCATGCGTGACTAATGACCCCCCACCCCGTGTGCAGTCATGCGTAGCTGTGCTCAAATCCGCATTAAATAACTACTGCCAAAAAAAACGCAAAAGTCATTGAGGTGACCAAACTACACTTGATCGTGGCCCTCATTGACAGAAGCGATGAAGCCGGCAAAATGACCGGGGCGCAGTGGAAGATGGTGCATGCGCGGCTCGTTGAGTCATTGTACGCACGGATGGAGGATGAAGCTCCAATGCCCACCTTCGATGGCGCTGGATGGCTAAATGGGGTCAAAATCCTAAAGTGCATGGATGACCCGACGATAAAGTGGCTGACGCAAGCGGTCTGCCAGTTGGAGGCGCTGTGGGAGGGAGCCAAGCTAGAGGTGGTGGACCGGGAGCTAATCCCATCCACTCCAAAAGCGAAGGTACTCTTCGCCATCGCAATCCAAGCGGACCGGGCGCTGAAGCTGCTGCAGATCCCTGATATCCCAACCGCGGACTGGAAGGTTCTGCACGTTGCGGCCCCATCACCCAAGGAGAGGGGGCAAAGTGCAGTCCTCCAGATAAACAAGGAGGCAGAGGACACCCTTTATCCCAGATACAGGAAGATGACGTGGGGCATGGGTAGCGTATACCTGCGCCTCAAAAGGCAGATGTGGTGGAGAAGGACCTAGGTCTGGAAACCATCGTGGATGCCGACCGGGAAATGACGCTGGATGAGTTCGACAAAGGAGAGGACGGTGACCTGACCGTAGTAGTCAATCCGTCGTATGAAGGTGAGGCCAGTACTCATGACACACAGGGTGCTGCAGCTCAACCTCCATAAGAGCAAGGTTGCGTCGGCGGAACTCCTCATAGCCATGGTCCGCAAATAACAATTTGCTCCATCCACCAACGGTAAGCAGGAATAGAATCGCCGTACTTGTACGAAAGGGTCTACACGCAAACCTTATGTCCCCTTACAGCTCTGATGACCTGACCGTGGTGATGCTAGAGAGCGGGAAAAAACGCCTTTTGGTAGCTTCCTACTACAAGGCACACGACGGCAAACTCCAAAGCTTCACAAACATACATACATATTCATACGGCTGCTTAAGGGGGGACATCTGAGTAACTGGCCAAAAAAAAACCGATTTTCAAGAATTTTTTTTGGCCAAATGAAAAAAGAAAATCGAAAAATTTTAAAGTAGGTTTTATAATGTTATATGTGAAGTACAAAATACATTTTTTTGGAATAAATCGAAAACAAAATGGCGGCTGTGCAGCATTTCTTCGTAGGCCCTATTTTTTTGACCGGAAACCCTATTTTCATGACCGGAAACCTAACGTCCTTAATTTTTGATCTAGAACTAAAAATCAAATTTTGTTAGTTTCTGTATCTTAACCGCTATTGACACACGTAGGATTTTTTTGATATTTTGATTTTAGGCAAAATGGTGAGTTATTAAATAAAATGTTCAATTTTCATGAAAAAAAAAAAAACGTCACAAAATTGTTGATAAAAAAAAAAAGTAAGAAAAAAAAAATCCTACGTGTGTCGATAGCCATAGGTATTTTGAATATACTGTTTCCGGCCAACTCAAAAAAAGTGGTTTTGAGAAAAACGCGTTTAAAGTTTTAAAATCGTATATATTTACATGAGAGGCAACTCCGCAGAATGGAAAATTTCGACACTTAGACACATTTGTCGGACTCTATCTTTTGGTATGTTATTTTTAAGACCCTAAAGAATTTTTTAAGCAAAAAAAATTTTTCGATTTTTAAAAAAAGTTACTCAGATGTCCCACCTTAAGGGCCTTTATACATTGCAATTTTCTTTATCTCCCATTTGCTCGTAAAGCGTGCACAAGCACCTCTCCGTTCCGAACAGGCAAAGAACGGCGACATAGTGCCGACGGGAAAACATCTTCCATCTTCCAAATAAAAAAATTTCCGCGAACAAAATTTTATATTAGCTGAAAACTTGATATTTGATATTTTTGTTGGCGGGTAACACAGTTCTTATCTTTTAGTTCGGTTCCTTAGATTTAAAGTATAGCCATCTCCACTGACCACCTTTAGCCATTTTTCTATTTTGGTGTTTTCTTTCCACATAATTTTTAGGATTTTGTTGTTTGTTCCTAGAGAATAATCTAAAATAATTTTCGATACATTCGGATTTTCTCCTTCAGCGCAGCTGGTCACATCTACAAAAAGTCCTTATTAAATAAATTAAAAATAAATAAAAACTAAATAAGATAATTATCTTATAAGTTATAATTTATTTAAATAAAACTATTTTGACTCTAGACCATTTTGTATAAATCCGTTCAAAATAAGTGCTTAAATATCATCTACAAGTTAAACAAACTTTACGACATAAATCAACTAGAAAATCGAGTGACACAGCAAATTTGTAGCAGCAAAAAGCAACAAAAATCCGGGGTGGATCCTGGTAAATCAAAATGATACCACCAGACAAAAAAAAATTATTTTCTAAGAATTCAAACTCAGATGAACAAAAATATTTAATTATTTAAAGAAAGGACATTTTATATCTTGAGAATGCAAATCCGTTTATAATAAAAAAATCTGTTGATTATGTCTGTGGAAGTGAAAGCAAACTCACCAGAGCCGGGAAACTATTAATAAAAACCAAAAACATCAAACAAGCACAAAAACTACTAAAAATTAATAAAATCGGGGTAATAGACGTAGAAGCAAGTGAACGAGACAAAGGGAGTAATTTATTGTAATTTACTCCGAAATATCCCAGAAGACGAAATTTTGGCAGAACTGAAATCCCAAAAAGTTAAGGAAGATTACAAATGGACGAAATTGGTTGATAAAAAACGAGTCCCAACAGGACTGTTAACATTAATTTTTGCATCCATTAATCTTCCCGAAAAGGTAATGATCGGCTATGAAATTGTATTTACTCGCCCATACATACCACGCACAATGCAATGCAAAAAATGCCTTCGTTTCAACCACCTTTCAACCACTTTTTGCAAACAAGATAGCCCCACATGCAAAAACTGTTCAGAAACCACACACACAAATGACAATAACGACTGCATACAGGAACCAAAATGTATCAAATGCAAAAACAATCATACTTCCATAGATCAAAAAATCCCCAGTCTTTTTTAAAGAACAGGAACTTGTAGCCATAAAAATCACCGAAAAAGTTTATCACAAAACCGCTCGTTCCATATATTATGCACGCCACAATCCCAGTCAAGTAACGTCATATTCACAGACTTTGAAAAACGCAACACCATTAGAAATCTCTACTAAACCAACAACAATAATCGAAACACATGAGAATAAATAAAGGATCACAAACTCTTCAGAAAAAATACTTAAAGATTGACAAAAAATTAAAAATACAACTATGCCAGCAAACCGGACGCTCGTAACACTTTTTGATCTCGACTCCGAAGTCCCCACAACATCAGCAAGAAACCATACACTTAGAAGCCAAACCAAAGAAAAATCCGCCCTATCCAAAACATTTAAAGCCAAAAATCAAAAATCCACCTCGTATAACCCATATACTATAAAGCAAGCACAAAAAATCTTTAATTCATTAATGTCTTTAAAAATATTGCAATGGAACATTAAGGGATACGCAAATAATTACAACCAAACTACTACTACTCATCAAAACACACTCTCCACATATTATATCGCTTCAAGAAACGCATAAACAACAGCTCTACAGTTTACCAACCCCTATAAATTATAACATACTGACAAACATTGCATCCAACAGATTTGGAAGAGTAGCTCTACTAATTTATAAATCAACTCAGCATACGCAATGCAACATCAATGAAGATGTAGAAGCAATAGCAGCCGAAATAAAATCCAAACAAAAAATTAAATTATATGCCATTTATATCTCACCAAACAAAGCTTTTTCACGCAATAACTTAAACAATGTTATAAACGCCAACAATGAATTAGTAAAGATAACAGGCGATTTTAATAGTTGGCACCAAAATTGGGGATCTCCGCAACCGAACTCAAGAGGAAAAACAATAGCCAAATTTATCGAACAATCGCAACTTACCCTCTTAAACGATAAATCACCAACTCAGTTTACTGCGCACAATACCTTCACCCACGTTGATCTTACCTTCTGCTCTCCGTCACTGACTCCACTCACTACCTGGAACACAATCGATGATCTTTACGGGAGCGACCACTTTCCAATCCTAATCAACCTCTTTCCCAAAAACCCCACCAGCAATCCAAGCAATCCCTTTTTTAAAATTAAAGAAACCAATTGGGAAAATTTTCAGAAATATACTCACAACTTTAACGAGTTATACCCCTGCTCAAACAACATGAACAAAGAAGCTGCACTAATCAACAAAATTCTTATATAAAGCGCACATCATACAATACCGCAAACACCCCTAAACATTCTCTTATCCCGAGTTCCCTGGTGGAACAAAAAACTATCAGACCTACACCAAGAAAAGAAAGGAAAATGGAGAGCACTAAAAAGACAAATAACACAGCAAACTATAATAGAATATCGGGGTGCTCCCCGATCTATCTTTCTAACAACGCATGATAGAATAATAGCCCAATTCAATCAGGGAGAGGACATGCCTCCCAAGATGCTACCGGTGTCGCGAGGCTGGCCACCTGGCCTCAAACTGCAGAAGCGCGACCGACCGGAGTGGGTGCTGCATAAGATGCGGGGAGAGGGGACACAAAGCCGCAAAGTGCCCTAACGAGCCGAAATGCTTCCTTTGCGTTGCTTCCGGGAAGAAGGAGACGAGGCACCAGGCAGGCAGCAAAAGATGCCCGTCCAGGAGCTCCAGTAGCAGTAGGAGTACCGCAGGCCTCCGTCTTGGGGCCTCTGCTCTGGAATACTATGTATAACGGAGTACTAAACCTCCCGCTATACGAAAACACCACCATAGTCGGCTTTGCCGACGACGTGGCGCTGGTGGTCGTAGCGAAGGAGCTGGCAGGGCAGAGTCAACGGCAAACAGCGCAATCCGAGCGGTTGAGTCCTGGTTGGCAGTCGCTGGACTAGAACTGGCCTCACACAAGACGGAAGCAGTGCTGATATCTAGCAGAAAGCACGTGGAAACGGGCGAGATTCGGGTTGGCGGCCTGCCAATTACTTCGCAGCGCGCGATAAGGTACCTGGGCGTCTACCTGGATACTCGCCTCAGCTATAGAGAACATTTGGATTACATCCACGGAAAGGCTAGCGAAGAGAGCCCTATCTAGAATCCTGCTGAACACCAGAGGCCCCAAGCAGTGCAAGAGGAAGTTGCTCACGAGTGTCGTCACTTCCCAATTCCTCTATGCAGCCCGTTCTGGGCGGAGGCCGTGAATGTAAAAAGCTACGTGAGGGGTACGGAAGGTACCTACCGCCTGTGCGCCCTGAGAGTAGCGTGCGCCTTCAGGACGGTTTCCGACGAAGCGGCCCTGGTCATTGCGGGGCTGGTGCCGATAGGCGAGCTGGTGCGAGAAGCTCAGGAAGCCCGTCTCTCACGCGAGCCGGACAACTCTTCGACAAGGCACCAGTTTTCTCGAAACATGACCTTATATTCTTGACTTATGACGTATGTATCTTTGACCCATAATGTTAACTCGTTCAGCTTTAGGGATTATAAAGGCATTAATGCTTTGGTTATCCAGAGCGAATATAGTATGTGTAACTGGTCTCCTATTTATCAATGTACAAGTGTTGAGTCTCAATTAAATGTCTTAAATATTAAATATGTATAACAAATGTGTACCTGTCAAAATAAAAGTTATTAAACCAAGGCAAAACCTGTGGTTTAATAATGAAATAAAGGAACTTATACATCAACGAGATATCGCGTACAGGAAATGGAAGCGGTATAAGACTGACCATTTTTGCACTGTGTATAAAAAATTAAGGTGCAGAGTTACAAAACTTATAAAGGTTGCCAAGGGCGAAATAGTCAAACTAAAATTTGAGAATGCCACCACGTCAAAAAAGACCTGGAATGAACTCAAAAAATTGGGAATCGGAAAGTGCAGGCAAACAAACAATAACTATATTGATGTAGAGAATCTCTGTCAATCGTTTACGCAAATCGATGTACCTGAAGCAACTCATAACCAGTACCTGAACAATATATCTAGCTGTGATAATAGTTTTAGCTTTATGTGCGTCGATCAATGTGATGCTTTAAATGGAATCCTCAAAAGTTAAATCGAATGCTGAAGGTTTAGATAACGTCAGTCCCAAATTCTTAAAACTTATTACTCCGCTACTTCTTCCACATATAACATACATCTTCAATACTGCAATTACTACTTCGACTATGCCCACAACTTGGAAAAAGGCAAAGATTATTCCAGTTCAAAAACCAAATAAGGAATACAGACCCATTTCAATCCTTCCCTTTCTTGCTAAGGTGCATGAAAATTTAATGGCGCAGCAGATGTTGAGGTATCTCGAAGATAACTCCCTGCTGGCGCAAAAACAATCTGGGTTCAGGAAGAAAAGAAGCTGTATTAGTGCAATAACGGACATTGTCGAAGATATTCGGAAGCAACTAGACAATAATTGTGTGACGTTTTTAACTCTATTGGACCATAGCAAAGCATTTGACTCGGTAAACCACTCTATTCTCTGCTCTAAGTTAAAAAATTTCTTTAATTTCTCTGATACTGCAGCTCGATTTATTGAGTCATACCTAAGTGGAAGGTCACAGGCAGTTGTCTCTGGCACTCGCATGTCTAGCTGTAGATTGCTAACACGGGGAGTACCTCAGGGATCAGTACTTGATCCTTTGTTATTCTCTTTGTATGTTAATGATTTACCTAGTGTTCTGTCTGACTGTGAAGTACATATGTATGCGGATGATGTTCAAATTTATGTTAGTAGTCCTGTTAATCAGTTAAATATTTGTATAGCAATAATATGCTCAAGAAATTAAATGACTGGGCAACATGCAATGGATTAAGCATTAATCCGAAGAAATCCAAATGTTTAGTAATTTTTAAGAGACCACTTGATACTGGAAACCTTTAAAATCTGGTTATAAATAACAGCCCTATAAATTACACCACAAATGCTAATAACTTAGGGATGACTTTTGATAATACACTCTCTTGGAGCAAACATATCACTAAAGCCTCTGGTCGAACATATGGATTGTTGAGACAACTTGCATGTACTAAGACACTCCTTCCGCAACAGATAAAGACCTTAGTTGCAAAAACAATCCTTATTCCAACACTATTCTATGGAATAGAGGTGTTTGGACACTGTGACTCACGAGATTTCCATAATTTATCAGTAGCCCTTAATTCAATAACTAGATATGTGTTTAATCTTAGACGTCTTGACCATGTATTCAACTTGACAACTAAACTTCTTGACCTTGACTTGACTGCATGGAATAGCTATAGAACTCTTACTTACTTTCATAGAATTATAACTTCGAAAGAACCAATGTATTTGTATAATAAACTTGTGTTTGCAAATTCACTTAGAACGAATAACTTGATATGTCCCAGATACAAAACTTTATGCTCAAACCGTCAATTTTTTATAAACGCTATCCGTCAATGGAACAACCTACCACACTATTTTTAAACCATAAGGAGCGCAACTCAGTTTAACAAACTAATTAAAGAATATTTAAAACAATAAGCAAAAGACTATATTTATAATATTTATAGTTTTAATATAGATAAAAAAAAAATAAAATAAAATAAAAAAAAAAAAAAATAAATAAAAAAATAAATAAATAAATAAATAAAAATTGTTCAGGTCAGGAGCTTTCGTTTCCCCCCGCGCGACTCCGAAGCGCTCCTGCTTCCTCAAAGCTCCTCAGCGCGCTCTCACTCCTTAGCGCGCTCTCGCTCTCAGCTTGCGCTCTTGCGCAGCTTGCTCTCTCGCTCTTCCAGCGGAGGCTTTTGACTCTGGGCGATCGGCGGTTCTCTCACTCCAACTAGTACAATTAAATCCTATATTGAACTCCAATAAAGCGGACCAAGTCCACGATTTATATTCTGAAAATAACCACGCCCCCCCCGGCCTACTACTATTTCTCTTCGTTCGGTGGTGACTTTTCGCTATTTCTACGGTGTTTTCGGTGACTGCGGCGCGGGAGTGATTTATTTAATAATTCGTGTGCTGATCTGGAAACTGAAGGAAGAATTTCCCCCCCTCGAGCCGAACATTTTGGTCCTACGGAGCCGGAATTTTTGGATATTTGGATTTTTTCTGGATTTTTGGATTCCGGAGTTTTTTCAACCCCTTACCAGCAGTTCTCGGCGTTTCTCAGCATTTTCCAAGATAAGTACGAATTATTCCGTCGCCCCCTCACTGCCGGTCTTCAGCAGTAGTCCGAACAATTAATTTCGGTCACTCTGCTGCAAGATTAATTTCCGTGTCGACTCCAAGAGCGAGTTTTCCTGACAACGGCAGTTGAGGAATTTTCCATTTCCTATTTTCCATTCCATAAAATTGGCAAATTTTTTCAATCCGTCTCCGTTTTAAACGTCGCCATATTCTTTTTCGTCCGCTTTCCGCTACATATTGGCATTTATCCGTACATCAATGTACAAAACGGTTCCGACACAAAATTACAATTCATTACATACATATGTCCATACATATCGGCTTACTTTATTAAGCACGATAGAAAATAAAATTCCATAATAAAAAATTGCTAATAGTCAAAATACAGTCCGCTATCATCCAAATATATACATACATATTATTATATTATAAATCCAGAATATATTTTCTCCATATAATATATATATATTACACATTATATTTTCATCCTCATACACATATGTATGTACATACATTCCACATACATTTACATACAACATTTTTAAAAAAAGAAAAAAAAAACAACCAAGAAAATAAAACATAATAAATAAAGAATAAAATATTAAAACAAATTTTGTAAGCCAGTGTCCGTCTTTTTTCTGCATTTTATTGGCGCGCCTTACATACATAGTTCCGCTGCCGTCGCGACATCTGCATACTTACATACATACATAACTAAGAGCTTTATAGGGTCTTCCCACACAGCGTTAAAGCGCATTTAGCATCCGTTGAACAAATGCTCCATAAGGTTTTGCCGTTCCGAATTTTCCCAAATGGCCCGGCGTTAGTTCAGCATTAGATTTTAATGCTGAACTAACGCCGGTTTGTTTGGCGATAGTTAGGCGATAGTTTTTCGGTGCAACTCTGATTCTTCTTCTTAATTTGACCATTCACCACGAAAATGTAAACAAACTTGGCGAGGAACAAATGAGATATGGAATTTAAAACGTGGCGCCAAAGCTACAAGCATGCCCAAATATTTGTTGGCGTTTTTTCTGTATATTCTTGCCCCAATATGTCCCCAATTGTTACTATTTAATATAAACCGCCTATCTCTACCTTATTTTAAAGATTTTGGATGCCTATACCACCTATAGACACTCTTCGGGGAATTTGCTCTTTGTTAGAGAAAAATCATTAGAAAAACTAAAATTCCTTGTCATTTAATTCATTTAAATTTATTGCGGATAAATTCTAACGCAATCTGTGCCTTTTGCTGTTGTACAACAGCCAAAATAGTTGGTAAATGCTCCATTTCAAATTTGCAACTGCCAATTCGACAGCCTTTGTTTACGTTTTCATGAGCTCACAGCTGATCGATCAGCTGCTCGGATGCTAAATGCGCTTTAATGCTGTGTGGGAACACGAGTTTCACATTTGTGAAAAATCCCAAACGTTCCTCACAAATGCGCTGTGTGGGAAGACCGTATTACATTCTTTACAAAGAACATTGAATTGAGAAAAAAAGTGTCAGGTGTTCCGATCCCACCATTCCGATCGAATTATTTTTCCTTATAATTAATATTTTTATTAATTAATAATTAATCAATTAATTGCTCATTTAATAATTTTTAAAGTTTTGCACGCGATAAATATCCGCAATTGTCAAGGGTACTCCATATATATTTTCTTTGCATTTATTGGGTTATTATTAAATCCGAAAATAATAAACAACTGAGCAATTCCATTCCGCAATTATTTATAAATATAAATAAATTTCCATTCTCGTCGCATTTGCTCCAATTAATATTGGCTCCACTACAAATAAATTTCGATTCTCGTCGCATTTGCTCCAATTAATATTGGCTCCACTACAAATAAATTTCGATTCTCGTCGCATTTGCTCCAATTGATATTGGCTCCTCTACACATATTTTCGATTATCGTCGCTTCTACGTCAAGTAAATTTTTTCCAGTTTATTTACTTGCAATTCTGAGATTGGTTAATTCCACCATCCAACATCTACCATCCGAGTTCTACGGCATATTCCTGCCATCCATATTCGCTTCGTTTTGACCGTCTCACATTTCTACTCCGGCGATTTAGTATTGGGAGCAAATAATTCTACGATTTGAATTTTATTGGTTAATTCTGAGATTGATTAATTCTACCATCTACCATCTACCATCCTAGTTCTGCGGCATATTCTTGCCATCCATATTCGCTTCGTTTTTACCGTCTCACATTTCTATTTCGGCGATTTTAGTTGACGGTATTGACCACAACTAAGTCTAACATTTGAATTCTAGGGCATATTCCTGCCAATCCAATCCAAAAAAAAAAAAAATGTCGGAAGGACAAGAACCAATTCCGCAAGACGCGAGCCAGAAGAAGGAGGCAGCGCAGTTAGCGCCTTCAATAGATGGAAGTCAAAGGCGGGAACCGAGTCCGAGAAACACGGGCGCGGGACCGTCAAGTAATTTGAGATCCAAATCCAAGGGCACTTTAGACGGTATTTTGCTTGAGTTCATAGCAACCAGCGACCGTCTTGTCAAATTTGAAAGCCAGATATTTACGGCATCCTCTTCCGAGCCTAGTTTGTGTACCTTAAAGATCCGTCTGGATCAGACACAAGCCTTATGAAAAAAGGTTGAACGGGAGTATGATAGCCCTCGAGCATTCACAAATTTCCACGGAAAATTGGGACTGCCTTCTAATTTTTCTAATCTCCTCCAAGTTGCCGAAGGTCACTCTCTCGTTATGGGAGCAGTCCTTGACCAATAAGTCCGCGATCCCAGCCTGGGAAGAAATGAATTCCTTTCTCGAGGAGAGATATCGGGCGTTAGAAGCAATTGAGGATGTCCGACCCAATTCTTCCAGCACACAGCATTCAAGGGAGCCCAGAAGTGCACAACCAAGGAGGGTAAATACCTTCGAGACACAAGTCGGGCCACGCGCACGATTTTGTGATCTCTGCTCCAGAGAGCCTCATCCAGTTCGGCTTTGTCCGCGGTTTTTGCAGATGACTCAACCACAAAGAGCATCATACATTAAACAAAAGAGACTGTGCCTTAATTGCTTTGCAAGGGGACATAATCTTCGTGAATGCCCGAGCAGGCATAGTTGCTTCACATGCAGGGGACGGCATAATACGCTCTTGCACAAAGATACTCCGTCTAACGCTGTTACCACAGCGCCGGCTCACCCTCCAGAGCAGCCAATCTCAAACACGTCAGTTCATTTCGCCTCCAACCAACAAGGAGTACTTCTAGGTACGGCCATAGTTCATGTGTGCCACCGAGGAGAGAATTTTCCAGCACGTGCCCTGATAGATTCAGGCTCCGAAGGCACTTTCATTTCTGAGAGGCTTGCCAACCGGATTAAACTTCCATTTCAAGCCGTAACAACAAGAGTCACAGGGCTCAACCAAGCCAATTCCGGTGTCTCACAAAAAATGTGTCATTTCCAGATGGGCACTCCGGCCAAACCTATGCTCAAGATCGACACGACGGCGTTTGTGCTGCCGAACCTGGCCGGCAATCTTCCGACAAGCACAATTGACCGAAACATTCTTGATAGGCTGCCAAATATGCCATTGGCAGATCCGTCGTTTTTCCAGCCGTCTCAAATAGACCTTCTTCTAGGTGCGGATATTCTTCCGTCTGTCCTGCTATCGGGCTGGAGGCCAAACGTATGTGGGTCCTTATTAGCGCAAGAGACCATTTTCGGGTGGATTTTGACCGGCCCATTGTCTTCAACCACTAGTAGGGTTTCGTCTTTCACCACACAAATATCCATAGAGTCCGAAGCAACCATGGAAACACTTCTCACAAAATTTTGGGAGGTGGAGGACCTTCCATGCAGACTGGTAAAGGAGACGGACAAGTTGTGTGAAGACTTTTTCGTCCGAACAACTACCAGATCCTGCGACGGGAAATATATAGTATCCCTGCCCTTCAAAGATTCAGAGCACATTGACTTGGGGCATTCCAGGAGTTCCGCACTCGCACAGTTTCTGAGGAATGAGACGCGCTTGAAGAAGGAGCCCGCTCTCAAAGACACTTATGACTCAGTCATCCAAGAATATATCGATCTTGGACATATGAAGCCCGTGCCTCCGAATACCGACAAGATAAATTTCTATCTCCCCCATCATGCAGTATTTAAGCCCGAAAGTGCGACCACGAAAGTTCGCGTAGTTTTCAACGCATCCAGTCCTTCTTCCAATGGGAACAGCCTTAATGACATTCTGTATCCAGGGCCAGTACTGCAGTCCGATCTCACTCTTCAAATCCTGAAGTGGCGGACGTTTAAATTCGTTTTCAATGCCGACATCACCAAGATGTATCGGCAAATTCTCCTAAACCAAGAGCACACTCCGTTTCAGAGAATTCTCTTTCGAAATGGCCAAGGGGATATATCCGACTTCGAGCTTCAGACGGTCACGTTTGGAGTGAATTGTGCCCCTTTCCTGGCCCTACGAACACTGCAACAATTGTCCGACGATGTCAACGCCCAATACCCACGGGCGTCGCATATAATCTCAAATTATATGTATGTCGACGATGTGCTAGCAGGAGCCCATACAGAGGCTGAAGCTATTTTAGCCATTCGGGAGCTGCAAGCAGCTCTGGACTCAGCTGGATTCCCTCTCCGCAAGTGGACATCGAATGAACGTGCACTCCTTAAAGCACTTCCTAAAGAGCATCTACTTTCGACTGATTTTCTTGATCTCGAAGAGGTCAGCACCACTAAGACATTGGGAGTACGGTGGAACGCTACGACGGATGAGTTCTATTTTGTCCCAACAGAGGTCACCATTCAGGCAAACTATTCGAAACGCGACGTCTTATCCCAAATCGCGAAGTTGTTCGACCCAGCTGGGTGGCTCTCCCCATTTGTGGTTCAGGCCAAAATCCTGATGCAGGATATCTGGTATCGAATGGGATGAGTTTCTTCCTGCAGAACTACTACATCGCTGGCATGATTTCCTTCGGAGCTACAGTTTCCTCCACCAAGTTCGCATCCCGCGCTGGGTACATTTTCAACCGGGTGTACAAGTCCAAATCCATGGTTTCTGCGATGCCTCCCAAAAGGCTTATGGCGCAGCGATTTACGTTCGCATCCAGCGTGATGGAATCATTTCAGCAAATCTTCTAACGTCAAAGACCAAAGTCGCTCCGGTAAAAACTGTCTCGCTCCCGCGTCTAGAACTGTGTGGAGCCGTCCTTCTGGCAGACTTGTGGACTGCAATTCTGCCTCAGATTCCTTTCGGTCGTATAGAATCTTTTCTATGGACTGATTCCACTATTGTGCTGGCATGGTTGAACAAGCCACCATGTCAGTGGACGACCTTCGTCGCAAATAGAGTCACAAAAATCGCTCAAAACACTGATGCCAGCCAGTGGTCTCACGTGCGTTCCGAGCACAACCCAGCAGATCTAGCCAGTCGTGAAGTAGCGGCTGAAGAGTTAGCTACCAGTGAGCTATGGTGGCATGGGCCTTCATGGCTAACTCAGCCACAAGACTCCTGGCCTACACCTTATGAATCAGTTTCCGACATCGACATCGAGAAGCGACCCATACGTTGCCATTTAGCATGCCCGGAGCAGGACATGCTCGAGCGGTTCTCCAAGCTCGACAAGGCACTACGAGTTTTCGCCTATGTTCAGCGCTTCATCCAGCGCTCGCAAAAACGACCTATTCCAGGCGAGCTGCAGCTATCCAATACAGAGATTTCCACAGCTGAGCGACTCCTAATTTTCATAACACAGCGCAGATACTTTGCGCTTGAATATGCCTGCCTGAGCCAAAAGCGGCCAATTCCAGCATCCAGTTCTATTAAGAACATGAATCCCTTCCTTGATCCTCACGGCCTCATCAGGACGTGTGGTCGGGTAACGGCCTCCGAAGTCCTCCAATATGATGAACGACATCCGATCTTTCTTCCATACAACTGTCAGTTGGCGCGTCTCCTTGTATCCTTTACGCATCGCATCTCCTTGCACGGCGTTAATCAGCTAATGGTACGCCTGATCCGCTCAAAATTCTGGATACCAAGGGTCAAGAACTTAGTCAAGTCTGTAATTTTCTCCTGCAAAATATGTGTGATCCACAAAAAGAAGTTGCAGACCCAACTCATGGGCGAATTACCAAAAGAAAGAACGTCCTTTTCGCGGCCTTTTACGTACACGGGCATGGATTATGCCGGACCGTTTGATATAAAGAACTACACCGGGAGAGGCTGCCTGATTACCAAGGGCTATGTGCTGGTGTTTGTATGTTTCTCCACGAAGGCCATCCATTTAGAGCCTACTTCGGACCTCACAACAGAGAAATTTCTCGCAGCATTCGCCCGATTCGTTTCGCGGAGAGGGTGCCCTCGACAAGTTCAGTCGGACAATGGGAAGACCTTTGTTGGTGCAGCCGCAGTGCTGTCGCGTGAATTTCTGCAAGCTGTCAAGGAGTCCGTGACGAATGCTTATAGTCACCAGAAACTCCTGTGGCAATTCATACCACCAGGAGCCCCGCACATGGGAGGATTATGGGAAGCTGGAGTTAAAAGCTTCAAGACGCTGTTTTATAAATCCACAGCCACTCGAAAGTATACGTTCGAAGAACTTTCTACATTGCTGGCCAAGATTGAGGCCTGTCTTAATTCGCGTCCACTCGCCCCGATGTCCGAAGACCCCACAGACTTGTTGGCACTCACGCCAGGTCATTTTCTCGTAGGTGGACCCCTTCTCGCCACCGTCGAACCCGAAATTAAGGGTGCGTCCACTTCTATTATCAACCGGTGGCAGCACCTTAAGGCCCTTCATCAGCAATTCCGCCTGAGATGGAAGGAAGAGTACCTCAAGGAGCTCCACAAGCGAACAAAGTGGCAAGTCCCCACAAGAAATCTCGAGGTGGGCGAGATGGTTATAATCAAGGACGATAATCTGCCCTCCACTGAGTGGCGGCTCGGCAGGATTGACTCCGTGTTTCCCGGACCCGATGGTCATGTCCGAGTAGTGAATATTCGTACTGCTCGGGGAATCGTTAAGCGCCCTGTCGCAAAAGTCGTATTGCTTCCGGGGGCGACCTCCGAAAAATCTCAATAACTAGCCGTATCCTCACTCCGTAGTTTGCTTCTTTCGCTAGTTTTAAGTCATATTCTCGACTCCATACTAATTCTTTTTTTTTGTATCCTACTCCAGATTATAAACAATGTTCCCACGTCTACGTAGCGCCGTCGAAATGGAGAGCAGACGTACACGAGGTATAAATTCCTACCGTTGCCGAGTTTGCCACGGAGTCCACCCTCTACGGAAGTGCCGCAGATTCTTGCGGCTGAGCATCGAAAAAGAGGCTCCGCGCGGTCCTCGCGAATCGCTATTGCGCCAACTGCTTGGCTCACGAGCATTCGGATGGAGCGTGCCGCCGTGGCGATCGGTGTAAGATCTGCAGCGGAGAGCACCACACACTGCTGCATATGCAGGAGCAGCCGCTGTATTTACGCCGTTCGCGTCAGTTGACGCCGCCCTCTCGTCGCGCTCGAGCTTTTCACCACCACGTTTCGGCCTCTCTTCACCACGCGGCGGCCTCTCCTCGGCGCTCTGCGGCCTCTCCTCAACGCTCTTCGGCGGCCTCTCCTCGGCATTCGTCGGCCTCTCCACGAACCGCGGCATTCGCCCCGCAGGGAGTTCCGACAGGGCCTTCACTGGCCACGTTGCTTCAGCGATACCGCGTGAACCTCCTCCCGACCGCGCTGGTGCGGATTGACACCGGGATGCGAGTGTTCGACACAGCGGCACTTATCGACCCATGCACGCCTATGAGCTGCATTGACACGTCGCTGGCGACTTCTTTGCGACTTTCAACGACAGCGGTGGGTGCTGAACAGATCTGCTCAGCCACCGTCGGCTCGAAAACGAACGCCCATGTCCGGCTCGACCTCGTTTTCAAAGTGGAGCCTCACGTGCGCGTCCGCACTCCGATCCGACAGTTGGATGAGACTGTGCGGGCCTATTTCAAGGACATCACCTTGGCTGATGAACGATTCTACCTTCCGGCTACGATCTCCGTCATCCTGGGTGCGGATGTGTACCCCAAAGTTATGCAGCCTGGGTACCTGAAAGTGCAGGATGGATTGCCGGTGGCCCAAAGCACCGTATTTGGATGGGTCCTGTCCGGGGCCTGTCACACGCCGATGTGAGGAGCAGACTTTATTGCAACCCATAGTGATTGCAAGGGGGGGCGGAATGTTCAGGTCAGGAGCTTTCGTTTCCCCCCGCGCGACTCCGAAGCGCTCCTGCTTCCTCAAAGCTCCTCAGCGCGCTCTCACTCCTTAGCGCGCTCTCGCTCTCAGCTTGCGCTCTTGCGCAGCTTGCTCTCTCGCTCTTCCAGCGGAGGCTTTTGACTCTGGGCGATCGGCGGTTCTCTCACTCCAACTAGTACAATTAATTCCTATATTGAACTCCAATAAAGCGGACCAAGTCCACGATTTATATTCTGAAAATAACCACGCCCCCCCCGGCCTACTACTATTTCTCTTCGTTCGGTGGTGACTTTTCGCTATTTCTACGGTGTTTTCGGTGACTGCGGCGCGGGAGTGATTTAATAATTCGTGTGCTGATCTGGAAACTGAAGGAAGAATTTCCCCCCTCGAGCCGAACAAAAATAAATATAAAATAAAAAAATAAATTTAAAAAAAATAAAAATAATATAAAAAAAAAACAAGAAAGGAAGCTAACTTCGGCACGCCGAAGTTTGTATACCCTTGCAGATTGGTTTTGATGTTTATATTATAGATTTAAATGCTGAAAACACTCACAAAACAGAGTTTCATTACATTTTACCTATACTTATTATGTTTACAGTTTGACAGTTACAGTTTTACATTCACAGCTTTACATTTTCTCTACATTTGCCGATCGTTTATACGGCAGCTCTATGATATAGTTGTCCGATTTTCATAAAATTTTTACCAAAATTCTGAAATAATTAAAGAAGCTCATTTCTAAATGTATTTCCTATTTATTTTCCGATCGTTCCTATGGCAGCTATGAGATATAGTCTTCCGATTTTCATAAAATTTTTACCAAAATTCTGAAATAATATAAAATGGCAACATCTAAAAAATGGTGCAAAAATGTTGAAAAACAGCAAAGTTATAATTTTTTTTCTAAAAATATATCGAACATTGGTATGGCAGATATATGATATAGTCGTCCGATCCGGCCCGTTCCGACATATATAGCAGTGAGAGCATATAGAAGACTATATGCAAAGTTTCATTCAGATAGCTTTAAAACTGAGGGACTCGTTTGCGTAGAAACAGACAGACGGACAGATGGACAGACGGACAGACGGACAGACGGACATGGCTAGATCGACTCGGCTGTTGATGCTGATCAAGAATTTATATACTTTATAGGGTCGGAAACGTCTCCTTCACTGCGTTGCAAACTTCTGACTGAAATTATAATACCCTGCAAGGGTATAATAACATAGTTAAATAAATAAATAATAAAAATAATTAAATAAAATATATATATAGCTAGTAAAATAAGTAAATTAATAATTGTTTAGGAGGGGGGTGGCTGGTAAATCCTCCGCAAAAGGATCAATAAAAGTTTATCCCACGAAGTAGAAAAACGCAGAAAATTCGGGGGTCGAAAAATGACATCGGCGGAGTGCCCGTAGCATACATATATTTTCGCATTCGATTCGGTACTAAACTTAGCTTAGCCTAAGGGCCCGCTACCGGCCGAGAAGCCCAGCTTAACAGCGCGAGAGCGGGAGAGCCGTGAATTTGAGCGGCGTAGCCGTCCCTAAGCTCGTCTAGAAGCGAGCGACGATCGGGAACATGAGAGCGGGCGATCGGGAATACAGAGGAGCGGAGAGCGGGCGAGCGTTGCCAAGCTGGGAACGCTTGAGCTTTTGGACGCTCGGTGGGCAGAGGAGGAGCAGGGGCCTCCTGGCGTAAACATTCTCCCCCCCCTTGCAATCACTCGGGTTGCAATAAACCCGTACAGGACGATGGTATGGAGAGGCGTCAGAGCGCCGCGTAGATCGTTGATGCTGGAGCGATGAAGGACGGATGAGTGCCAAGGAGAGGCGGATGATTGCCATGGAGAGGCGGGAGCTTGTCGCAAGGAGCTTGCTGAACAAGGCGGAGGCGTCGAATGCCGTGACCAGGACGCATCACTGTGCGCTAGAAGACGTCGAACTTTCCGTAGCGGACGAACGTTGGCAGACTCGGCTACGGTAGGATTAAGTACCTCGGGTACGTCTGCTTTCCAGAGCGATCGCGGTGTATGGAAATGAAGCCCTCGTATGTGATCTGGATGAAAGAAGATGACAGGAGATGAGTGATGGTCAAGTAAATGCGAACTAGAAGTATGGGGGTGACCGATGCTGCGAGCGGAGTGGATGCTCTGGACGGTCCTGCGGATGCAGGAGAGTGTGGTGGTGCTGATTGCACGTCTTGCATCGGTCACCGCTGCGGCAGGTTCTCTCGGAATGTTCGTGGGCCAAACAGTTGGAACAATAGCGGTGGTCGAGAACCGCTCGGAGCCCTTTCTCAGCGCAGAGTTTGAGGAACTGTTGGCATTTCCGGAGCGGATGGTTCCCTTGGCAGACTCGGCATTGGTAGGATAAAATACCTCGGGAACGTCTGCTCTTGCTGTCGTCGTACGGAACCCAGTAATTGGAGGAATCGGCAGAAGTGGTCACTCGTGTGGAGAACGAGGAAACCATTTGGATGGGTGCAGGTCGAGGACTAGATGGAGCGGAGGGTCTTGGAACGCTAGTAGTAGGATTGTCGCGGTGCAGCAGAGTGTGATGCCGGCTGTGGCACGTAAAGCAGGAATGGGCACTAGTACAGTGCCGTTGCTGGTGCCCTCGCGAAACAAATTTAAGCAGAGTTGCTTTCTTCGGATGAAGTCTGTCCGCTCATTGACATTCATGTCCAGGAAAAACGGGCATAGACGGATAGGGTGGTCCTCTCTGGAACATAGATTACACCTTCTCGGTGTTGGAGCCACCCTAACTTCGTGTGAATTGAGCCTACGCTTCGGTGGATTAGCATTTGATGACTTTGGCGGAAAATGCCCAGAGCCGTTAGGCCTGACGTCGTCGATGGCCTCCAAAGTGCGATGGCGCTCAGTCAGAAATGCGTCCAACTCCTTCCAGGTTGGAATTTCGGCTTTATTGCGAATGGATTGCTCCCACACGGAAAGCGTAATCTGGGGAAGCTTCGAGGAGACCATATACACAAGAAGGCAGTCCCACGCCTCGACTTCAATGGAGGACATTTGTAACGCGGTCAAACAGCTTTGAATTGTGCCTTGCAGCTCTCTTAGAGCGACTCCGGATTCTTGAGGAACAGCCTGGATGTTAAAAAGAATCTTTAACTGACTGTTGACTAACAATCGCTTATTTTCGAAGCGGTCGGAAAGGCTGCTCCATGCTGAGACGAAACCCTCGTTGGTCAGAGGGGCCTTTGAAACGATGGCATGAGCATCGCCGCTTGTCTTCGAAAGTAGGTGGAATAACCTCTCCACAGGCGTAAGTCGGGAATTATTAATGTAAATCGCCGTGAAGAGGTCCCGGAAGGTGGGCCAACGAAGATAATCGCCTGTGAAGACCTCGGTGTCCACTGGTGGCAATCGACAACCCATGGACGGGGGGTGTGGGCGCAGGGGCGGAAGCCTGAATGGACTGGGAGGCGGCCTTGTCGATGATTTCCTGCAGCTGTACAAGACACCTCGAATATACGGAGTAGCACTCACTGTACTTGGATTCAAGCTCAGTGGCGGTGGCTGTACTGTCGGAGGACACGGAAAGAAGATCGGAGCAGCTTTCATAGCTTTTCTCCACCTTGTCCCACAGGGCACGGATTTGGTCCCGATGGACTCTGCACATGCCAGGGGAAAATCTCTCAGCGTCAGGAGCGATCGGAATGTGGATGCTAGCTTCGAATTGGCTAACACGGGCTGTCGTCGAAATGAACTTTCGCAGGGCGATGTGTAGGGCATTTTGAGCCATTTTGGAAACCGACTGAGTGAGTCTTGGCGAAGGAACGGGACCAGAATCGACGGACTTGTCGCTTTTTGCC